GACGAGTGCCTGAGAATTTTGTATTATCTAGAAAGTAGATTTTAAATTTTTATATTATTATGATTTAGTAAATAATTTGCTTGATGGGATCATAAAATTTGGACTGTATAATAACATTTTTCCTCAAACTATTTTGCATTTAGATTGCAATCGTTAGTAGTTTTTCAAATGATATTTTTTTTTTACATTTTTATTGCACTGTATTTTTGGCTGTATTTTATTTTTATTGATATTTTTTATCCTTTGCACTGAAACAGTTTTATGATGATGCCTTGAAACAATGTTTCGCAAAGTTATTCAATCCCTGGACCACTTAAATCGAGTCACGTATGAACTGGGACCACGTATGCCCTCATCAGTTTCCTTTCCTTGTAAATCTGACTTTATATATGTGCCATAGTTTGTTCACCCAATAACCTAATTTATGAGATATGTAATGTGTGTAATGTTCTTTCCTTTTACTAAACAGCATAGATTTGCATTTTGGAAAATTAATTAGGTCGGTCTATGGGCCGTTTGGCGCATGTTTGCAAACCATCAGTGGTCCACAGACCATAGTTTAAGAACCACTGCATTAAAGAACTATTGTATTTACCATAGTATTAGTCAAGTTTAGCTCAATTATAACACTTTATTCGATTATTTTATCAAATATTAACATTACTAGTTCAGTTTCTATTAAACAAATGTTAAAGTTAATAGTTTATGCGCGTACAAACAATGGCATATTCAGAAAAAAATTATAGGAGGGGCACCACATAATACAAACAATTATATCTATATCTTATATCCTCCTAAAAATTATATCTCTGCAGAAAAACAATTATAATTATTAAATTATAAAGTTAGGTTATATTAAAGTATTAGTGAGTACATTAAACAATTGGTATATGTTCTGTGAAAAGCTACAAGGGTGTAAATGTCGCTATTTATATCCATGTCTGCATACAAATACAATGTAACTCAAATAATATTTTAAACATGAAACAAATATCCACAAATTTTCACTGACGTAACTTGAATATCTCAAACATATTGAATTGTGTTACTTTCCCGTCTATTATATATATATAAAAAGAGAAAGTATTGGAATCGTGTCACATTTGACACTCCAAATTCTCTGCAAATTTCCACATTTTGAGACCTCCTGAACCTAAACAAGTAAAAAAAAATGGCAAAAAAATTCCGTGCGTGTGTTGGCATCTATTTTTCTTAATATCACAGGATGGGGTGAAGATTAAGAAATAAAATTTGGCATGGTGGCTTGTATATGAGGTGCATTGATGCTATTGAATTTTGGTGATTAAAGATTGAGGAGGTTGGGAAATAGAGAGATGTCACATGTCATATCTCAAGAGGGGTAGGATTTAATGAAGATTTTATTCGTTATTAACATTTACACTTTTTTTATAAAACTCGTCTCTACTCTGAGAATTAAGCTTTTTGCCATTTTATATTAATTAAAAATATAAAAAAATTTATAATAAAATCTTATAACAGATGGTGCCACACACAACTTTATTTTGTGTAATATAATATAAAAGTTGTTATTATTTTTTTAATAAAACTCATAACAGTTTGGAACATTACACAACTCGTTGCTGAATTTTTTTTTATCCAGTTAAGTGTGTTTACTTAAACATTGTTATTTAAGCTTAATTGTTAGACTGTAAATTTTGTCTATAAATGATTGCATTCCAGTTACCCTTTGCTGTTAAAAAATCAGTTTAAAATACAATGGTACCTCAGGATATGCCCCAGCATACGAAATTTTCAGGATACGACATGAAATTCGAACATATTTTTGCTCCACGATACGTATAAAAACTCACCATACGACGTTACATTAGTTTGCAGTGCCATTTTTTATTCACTTCTGTTCATTGGTCTCAGTCCGCGTATTTGCTTCGTCGTGGAAGGATCTTGCTCGATAAAGGAAATCTCGAGATATTATCAGAAAGTGACTGATTTTATTGAAAAGAAACATTCCGAAAAGGTTCACACTGGCCGTATTGCTGCTCAGAGTAATGACATTTGCCTAAGTCATTTTAGAAACATTTTAATAAGTAGGCAAAGCCAAACCTCTTTGGATAGATATTTTACCAAGCGACCTCTATCCAGTGAAAGTGCTGGTGGAAGTAAAGGAACAAAAGCAAAAAGCAGTGTATAAAAATTTAAAAAATATATAAAACAACACTAATTTTTTTATCTTTTCTAAGTTATTTTTAAGGTATTGTTACATTTTGTTATGTAAGTTAAGTTTTAGTATCATTTCCCTTCTCTCTCTCTCTTCCGCCACCAGTTTACACCTCCTCCGCCGTCTATCCTCAAAGGTAAAGTGCAAATAAAACTACATTTTTTTTTTATTAATTATTATTCTATTATGGTTATTTATACATTTACAACTACAAAATGCATTTTTCAGTGTTTTCCTTACTATAGTTATTTATTTATTTTTTTTTTAATGTACTACTTAGCTTTAATTTGAGTGTGTTTTTCATGTTGGAACGAATTATTTGGTTTTACATGTAATCGTATGGGGAAAAATGATTCACCTTACGACATTTTCATGAGACGATCTCAGTTTCAGAACGGATTAATTTTGTATCCTGAGGTACCACTGTAAATTCTTTTTTTACAAGTCAAGTTTACTTGAATCAATGTGAAGGTTGAGCAGTAGTGAAAGTGTCTATTATTGGTAGAATTACACCTTGTGTCTTATCTGCATTGACTGCCAATTTTTGTTTGGGTTGCAGACATAGCCGTAGATTGTAAGATGTAGCTCTATTTTGGGCAAGTATACATAATTTAAAAAGTTGTCTTAGAATTGAGAAAATGCAGTGTTTATGAAAAGAATTGTTTAGTATGAATGCTTACCTTGCAGTGTCATTGGTGTTTTACCTCTAAAAATGGGAATTTTATGATGGAAATGCAGAAATAGACAGACTTAATTTTGACTTACTCTGGCATATATTCTTTGTTCAAAAAATTCTCTTGCATTGTGGGATTTTTGAAAAATTTAGTCAACTGACTGACCATAAAAGTTTGTCTAAACATTGATAAAGATACATTCTTAATTACTTGTTGTGAGAAATGTTTTCACGTGAATTACTTAATGCATGTTAATGGTGGAATTTTAAAAAAGAACACTAACATTTTCATCCCAGTTAATGGGCCATCCTTGGGCATTGGACGGTCAAGAGATAAATGCTCAGAATGAAGTGTCAAAGTGCCTGGCAATATCTCCTCACTTTTTTATGTTAATCACCACTGTTATATAATAGCCCACCTTTCCTGCTTGTTTACTTTATCGGAAATTGTCTCTTTGTCCTTCCTTCTGCCTGAATGTGGCCCATTATTGCGTCAAAAACAGTAGTAATATTTTTTTAAAATCCCACTGTTAAAGTGCTTTCGGTTAAGTTACCATAGTAGCGAATACATCATTCGTATTTTCACATTGATTTCATTCAAACGGATATGTGTTTCCATATGAAATTGTAAAATTACAGCTTGACGTGGCCAACTTTAAAGGTCATTTTCATCCTTAGATATGTTCGTTTCTCACTTTTATATTCTTTACAATATGCATAAGAATCATAAAAGTCAGAATGTGACATTTGGGTAATGTCACTTATTCAGCAAAATAAATATCTTTATTAATAATTAATAAAATATATTGCCTTGTTAGGTACTGTTTTAAGACTTTAGTTGTTAGACTGACCTATAACTGGAGATATGCAAGTCGTTCCTTGACCTTGTTGTAGTTTTAATGGTGCTCTGTGTATATATGAATATTTCATTTATTTATATGTAAACTCACTCCTTCAAACTTTTATAATTCCTTATTATTAAAAGAAGTCATAAAGTGTCTTAGTTATTCTTAAATAACATTTGTAAATGATACTCTTGGTGAATCATCCATCTGTAAACATTCAACGTTATCCTTGTTCGTTTTGTATATAGTTTGAGTGTGATCCATTTTGATTTTAATATTTTTCGATATGAACATTCGATCTCAAGCCAATTCCATATAATAGCTTGGGAAAGTAGTGTGCTAATTAATCTTTATCATTCTTTACGTGGCATTTTGCACATTTCTTGTCCTCATATTTAACCGATTTGATTTCAAAGTTTTGTGTATATGATATTAGAGACTTACTTCATGCCCAAGCAGGTGATCGAACAAAAAATTTACTTGTAAGAAGTAGACTTAGTGATGCCGGCAAGGAGTTTTGAATATTATATTTTGAATTCATAATAAATTAATGTTTCAGATTTAAATGTTTCTAACGATGCTTAGCTGGTCGATAACAAGCGCGGCTACTCGCAGTATTGCTTATGTCTACTGCTTGCACTTAAGCTTTTCATTTGATCACCCATACAATATAATATAATTATTTATGCAAGACACATCTGATATTGTAAAATACATGCTAAAACATCTGTAATGAATAAAATTGTCTTGCGGAAAAGCAAGAATTTTGTTGCAGAGCTGCTACGGTCGCTAAAATAATACATCAATTCTTACAGGCAAATGCATAACAACCGGCATTAATAAGCAACTGTTCCTCGGAGAGAATGCAGACACAAGATAGCTTTCTTGTTCTTTTTTAATGCCTTTTTTTTTTTTAATGCTTTTCCTTCTTTTTTTCCAACAGATAATGCTTTTTTAATATGATTTTTGCATGAATGCATTTTCTTTTTCCTTTATTTTACTAAATAACTCTAATATTTATTTTGTTTATGATTGCTAAGTAATATTTTGTTGCTATTATTTAACCTTATCTTGCATTTTGTTTTATAATATATTATATTATGTATGTATATATATATATTAATTTTTTTTTGTAAAATTAGAATTTTAATTAAATTTTTACATAATTTTTATTTGGTTTGTATGTTGCATGTTAAAAAAAATGAATTATTTCTTGGCTACTTCCCTTCCTTTCATCCCATCCTTTCACTTCATATGTTAAATAAACTTCCGGAATGACATTCAGGACCCAAACGGGTCATATTCAGATCCTTGCATGCCAGTAATTCTGTCGGCGACGACAGAGACATCCAACATCTGTCCGATTCAAAGACACCGTCAAAAGAAGCTCTGTGTTTGTTTCCTTCTGTAACGAATCCAAGCAATGATAGTAACGTGAACGATGACGAGGGACCTAATCTCGATTGTATTTTGGATCTTATTGGATCTCGGACGGGCTTTCGGCCCGAGGCGGAAGAAAATGGTACGTCGAGGCATCAACTGTGCATTATTAGTATAATTGTTATAATTATATAATATTGAACAGATTTATAAAACGAACAAAGAAAATTCCATTCTGCAAGAAAGTTTAAACAAACTGTTTTCTGGAATTTAAAAAAAAAATTGAGAACTAAAAAATTGTGTATAAAGTAATCTTTCTATGTAACGTGTTGTACCATTGAGAGTGTGAGCAATATTCATTAATTCATTATTTGTTACTCAGACTGACATGGAGCTACATACTAGCTGTGCCAGCTGCTCTTGGATACAATATAAGCAGGTATATGTAAACAACGTAAATATAAAAGGAAAATATTATTGTTAATAACAACAATAATAACAAGTAATAAAGCACTAAACCAGGGGTGGCCAAACCGTGGCGCATGCGCCAAACTTGGCGCATTGGACGATTACAAGTGGCGCTTTAGTCAGTTCTGAGCAACATTGCCAGATTTGGCTTCTTTGCAATTAAGAATATTACATAGAAAATTAATTTATTATAGTCTGTCTTGGCAAGTTCATTTGTTGCACAATTCGTTGCAATCAACTTTACAGATAAAATGAGTGTTCTCCACATAGTAAATTACAGTGTATGCATGTATGTTTATTTTCGATCAGTGCATAGGCGTCTAAATGACAGTGCTACCGTCCGGACAGTCCACGAGTCGGTTGGACTGCTACACCTGTTGACCTTTTTTTTTTTTTTCTTTTTTTTTTTTTTCTACGATTCACGATACATTCGCAATCGTGTATGCCACTAATGTCAAATGGGACTATTTTGTACGGGTAACTACACCACCACCGCATTTTTTATTAATTTTTTTTTCACACAACTGAATTTTGATCTTTTAAATTGAAATACCTGATTAAGGGGTGGCCGAAATTTTTCTCCGCCCCAGGCGGCTAACACCCACGGTACGCCACTGCGCATCTGAACTCGTCTATCAAAAAATTGGCGCATGGTATGCAAAAGGTTGGCCACCCCTGCACTAAACATTAAAGGAGTCAGCCAGTTTCATCTGGTCGTCTCCTCTAACATTTAGTGTTTTATGAATTGTTTATTGATGGAGTCGTGTGGCAAAACAGTTGATCAAACTGACAAATTCTACAAAATCTTAAGAAATTATTGAATCCTAAAGATCTTGTAATTATTTACATAAATTAAACAAATATGAAAATAGTAGTTTAAGCACTTGAAGGTTGTTTACGATTACTACTATAAAACTAATTCTATTGGATTATTTAACATTTGTTACATTACTAAACATTAATTAATATCATAAACATGTAAAGAACTATAATATGCGTTACGTTTAAGAAAAATACTGCTATATTAAACCATTTTTGCTATGTAGAATTCATGTTTTTTAGTTTAAAAATACAGTAGACTTGCACTCATTTGGCCTGTGATCCAGCATGATCAGTCATGTCATAAAACTTTTTATATATATAAACAAAAAGTACAAAATAATTACATTTTTATAATTATTTTTTACTTTTTATGGTAGTGCAGTATCATCAAATAATGTATAAAAATGCAATTGCAAATGTTTTCATAAAATACATGCTTATTCCATTGATAATGTGTCGGTTATTCATTTAGTCTTGTATTAATTGATGGTATGTATGCTTCCTATTTATCTTAAATTAATCAAAAAAATTGTCATGCCTATTTGAGTTTCTATAAAATAACTACATACCATAAAAATTACAGCCGAAAAGTAAGCCATGTATGTGATGCACTAATGTACTTGACTGCACGGGAAATGCCTTATCTTCAATCTCCGTGTTACCCAGTTTGACCATCCGCCACGCAGAGCAAAATTTCTGCAAGTCTACTGTATCTATTTATTCACTTTTTTTTTCTGGAAATGACACCAATAGGGAGTATTCTTTATATAAAATACAATATCCAATGAATAAAATAACACTAACAACTGTATTAATTAATTAAATGTGGCAGGTTGGCAGCTTGAAGGTATTTAACTTTCTGGGAGACCTTGATCTTGAGATTTTTTACACCGCTTTTTAAAATTTTTAAATAATAAATTTCAAAAACAAAAGAATTAATCCCTTTTAGCTTGTCTCTAAGTACTATAAGCCAGTGGTCCCCAACCCCTGGGCCACGGACCGGTACCGGTCTGTGGACCAAACAGTACCGGGGTGCCCAAGGAACATTAAATTATTTCTTTTTTATTTACTATGGTGTATTTCCTCGGGTTTGTGTGACTTCTAATGAACGACGGAACAACAGAATAAACTGGACATAAGAAACACACTTCAGGTGTCATTGTCTCCTATTACCCCCAGAGGGAACCGTCTCATTGCAATGAAACAAGCTCAGGGTTCTCATTGATTTAGCGTTCTAGTGAGTTAAAATGTTAAATAATTAAATCAATCTAAAATATAAACAATCAATGTCCCCCCTCAGTGGGCTGCGGTAAAATTATGAAACTTTGACCGGCCCACGATGATAAAAAGGTTGGGAACTGCTGCTATAAGCAGTTTTAGCCAAAGGAGGCCATACTAACCAATCTTCTCTCAACTTGGTTTAAAAAATTTCGTGAAAAGTCCATCATAAAATAGATTCTAATGAGATGTTTTATAAAAATCTTGTCTTACGTACTCGGTACAACGTGAAAGTTGGGAAGCCCCAGACTCGTGCCCTATTAGCCCTTACATAGATCTGTTGCTACTCAAAGGAGTGCAGTATTCTTTATATCTAGGCAGTGACAGATCCAGAAAAATTGATAAGAGGGTTATCGTAATAAAAGTAATTATATCACTATAATTTACATCCTTCTAAGTTTTTTGTATGTGAGTTCTCTGCAGTTCTTGATTCTCGAGATTCAAGAATAAAAAAACTATGAAACGTTATTGCATTACTAAATAAAAGTCAAAAAGAGCCATCTGTTATGTATTTTATTTTCAACAAAGATTTACGATCTGTCGAAATTCAAATGGTTATTTTAGTAAATTAATGTTTATCAAATTGTCAATATCGTGTACATTGCCAGTATACATCAGTCTTGACCACAATCAATGCATTGGTGAACAGTTTAATAAGCTTTTACTGGAACGTCTGGCGACCTAACGAAATAGCAGATACAAACAGTGCTAAATAGGCATTTACAGATTTATTTTGTCAAAAATGGGTGCTAATAATATAATCACAGAGATGGCCATATTTCCGCATTGGAGCTCATCGTATCCACAGCCTGATGAGTTTGGTATGCATAGGTCACTGCACCGATGAATTTATCAGTGAATATTGGAACATATTTTAGTATATCACAGTTCACCAATGCACTGTTTGATGCATACTGTAATCTACCTGTCGATATACAGGCATAGTCTGCAGAACATCTCCACTGTTAACATTTTGTTAATAGACTCTCTCTCTCTATTCAAACTAAACAGAATATATGTATCTCTCAATGCATTTTTCAATGTTTATTTAGGAAAAATTTTATATTTAGTCTCAAAAACTCCTTACAACAATATATGCTGAAAAGTTCTACAGTTAATAAAACATTAGAATTGCGCATTCTACTTTTGAAGCATGCCAAGTCACATTTATGGTATGGCATACCATAAACATAATAGCACAGCATACAAAACTACTATTTGATAATGATCTTGTTAATTATTTGATGTTCACATAGCAGTGTTTTAAGAATTTTACACCTTAAAACAAGTTTGTTACTTATAGATAGACGTTTTACTGCATTTTAGTTATGTGTTAGGAAATTGCTTGGTCATTTTGGCTTGAAATTGTAATGCGTTATAATTTTTTCTATTTAAAATAATGGAAAATGACTCCCAACTAACATTTTCATGCCAAATGCCTGATTTTCAAAAACAGATTACTGATGTTAAGTAGAAGATACCTATATGTATAGTTATATTATGTAAAAGAGTGTATGAGTATATTAAATAATTGGTTTTTTTGAATTATTGAACAGTTCAAACAGAATATGCTATGAAAAAGATAAAAAAATACAATTTATAATGCATAAATCATAGGTAATTTGGGTCAAATAGTCAATAAACTCTACCAACATCACTTCATATCTATAGAATGCCGACATTTTTAACATGGAGATCTCTTGTATTGCATAAAACTGTCACTGAGTGCACTAGAAATTATTTTATATTTTACCATTAACAGATTAAAAGAACAGAGTTCTGAGTTTTTAGTGTATGATATCTCAAATAGAATTTGATGGTTTGAGAGATAGACTTGACAATTCCAGTGAGGACTTTCAAGTGCTTTCTTTGAATTTGTACTAAATAAATACAGTATTTGAAATTTTTAAGTGTTCAGCAGACAGTAAGAAATACATATACACCACAGCATCGTCAAGTCTATCGGTCACAAGAAAACTTTTCGTCTGCTTATGACCTGAGGATTTAATGTTGATTGAGAAACTATTATCAATTATACAATATTATATATTATATAATTGTACAGCAAACAAATTAAATAATAATTACAAATATATCAACGTTTAGATTATAAATATCAAAGTATTGTATAAAATTTTAATATATGTATTATGTTTGACTTGGCACCATTTATTTGTTAACTAAGTTTAATTTTTATAAAATTTTATCAAACTGTTTATAATAATTGGCAGATTAGATTAATAATCATAGGTAATGTTTCATTAAGAACAAGCACAGATTCGGCATCATTGTAAATTGGCAAAAGAATTTTATAAAGTAACGAAGTTAAATGGTTTTTTCTATTTTTATTAAGCTCGTTTGGGTACAACAATCTTTTAGAATAAATTTAAATAGCAACTGAGAGTAAAATAAACATTTTTGACTCATTAAATTAGTCTAAATGTTTGTTTTGAATATAATGTTTTGCTGTTTCTGTTAGTATTTGAGACTTGAGTAAGAATTAGAGCATATTTTTAAAAATTCTTCAAGTTTATGGTATTTCTATTGACACCTTCCAGTTTTAGACTTCAGTTCTCTCCATCCATCCATTCTTCATTTACTAAACCTGACTATTTCTTAGTTGTTAGATCAAAAAATTAGAACATCATCTATATAAAAGTAAACTTGTACAAAGGAGAATTTGAGGTAAGCAGTTAAAATGCATGGTTAGTATAAATGATATTCCCAATTCGAAACACATTTAACTCACATTTAATGAACTTATGATGCATAAAATTGATACTAGTAGAAAGAGAAACTCAAAAAATTTTGTTGTAGTATATCACATGTTGTAACACTACCACATAATAGCGCAGTTCTCCACTAAAGGTGAAGTGAGAGAAAATGGCTGCCATGGAAGACAGAAGATGATGTTGTGTCCTAGTTTTCCATATTCATCAGTCTGTAATTAGTGTAGTGGCATTACTGAAGTGAGCTCAATGACCAACTAGAAAACAGATGGATTAGCTATGCTCGTCGTGAAGATATGCACTTCTTTGTCATCAGCCACATTCCCCAGATCCAATGCAGGACTTTATCAAAGATAGTCTACATGTCACTCTTACCACAGACCATGCATGATCCTCAAGCAGATATCACAGAAACTATTGCAGCATTCAAACGCATTGTGTTGTTGCAATGTCTGGCGGGAACTCGACTCAGCTCACATTTAACACACGTGATGGATTGCAATAAAACTTTTTGAGTTCCTCTTTTCTTTCGTTGGTACCAACATTATGTATTAGAGTTTCTTTAAATATGAATTACACATGTTTCAAATCGAAAACATCATTTATATAACCCTGTAACTCTTATAACATATTGGGAATTTCTGCATGCTTATAATTCCACTTTTTTTAGAACTTTTTATATAATAAAGGCTGTAAACTTATATCAAAAGGGCTTAAAAAAGATTGAACAGTTTGTTTCTCTGTAGATGAAACAGAGATTAGGTAACTTATTCTACGGTCACCAGAACAGATGTTTAGAGAATTATGGCATTTGCTTTATTTCTTTTAATTCTGGGTTTTTCCCTCTCAGCAGAAAGTGTAACTTTTTATGGGAGTAAAGACATTTAAGAAATTATTAAAAGCATAAAATGTTTCTTATAATCATATTATTAATTACCAACATGTCTGTGACTACCAGTTGGAATGTTTTGGAAAAGTATGCAATACAGTAGAAGTGTATTGCATACTTTATACTTTTACTGTAATCTCAGCCAGTAAAGTTGTATCAATGTAAATTTGTCGATAGGCTTTTTCCTTGCAATTATACTTTGTTATTGGCACAAAAGTAATTCGAGACAAGTAAATCTTAATCTCAGCCAGTAGTCACCATCGACGTGTTTTCTTAAATGGTAGAATAGAAGAGTGTTACACTGAGCTGAGCCTTTCTGGATCAAAACCACTTGTGAAAATTTCTGAAGTGTGAATGTGGACTCAAATGTGGATTAGGCGATCGTTTGGTAATTTATTATATACTATTCGGGCTTTGAGTTGTTGTTATTTATGTGGATTTTCCAGAGTGACAGGCTGACATACTTTTACTATAAGTTGTCAAAAAAGTTACAGTGTGGTGGAAAAGGTTTAAAAGTGAAGTTTTACATACGATATTGCAGTTTCTCCTACAGTAAATGCCAGAAATGTCCCTCAAAATCCAAAGATTGAGGTCCAGAGATCTAACTAGCCAGATTCCATTGGAGATTATGCAATTGGGCAAGAAGTCGTCCAAAACCTAGAACATCTATGATCAAGCAGTAAGATCGTCTACTGCAAAGTAGAGAAGCAAAACATACAACTTACGGGTCTCATGTACAATGCCGTTACAAACTTTTCACTGCACAGTAACTTTTGGGACACCCTGTACCTTAGCTGTCTGACTGTCTTAGTAACTGGTTTTTATCGATCATCTGAATATTTAGATATTTTAGATGATGAAAAGTGACCGTATTGATTTCTCTTCCTTCTGCATCTTATTCATTGATTGAATGACCACTATTTTCAATATAATATCTAAATATATGTTGAAACAGAGAGGTGCAGCCTTCTGCTTGTGACACCAAGATTTAAATGTTGGTTGCACACGAGCTCTTAAATCTTTGTTTTTTTTTTATTGGTAACTTCCCTACAATCTTTAAACTTCTTTTACGATTCTCAAATTGCACATGTAACGTATTCTAGAAGAATAGTTGTACTCAAAGAATCTTAATAAGACGGATTACAATGTTTCTGCTGTGTAATTATAGAGAGATATGATAAAAATTTAAATTAAATCCCATTATTTTTGAACTGATCTCCAATATTAAGTTTAATTTAGTTGTGGGAGAAATTGTTTTGATTCTAGAAAACAATTTGTTTATATTTGTACGTACAAACGTTGAATCGTGGAGTCAAAATGTAATAATTTGGAGGTGTTAATAATATACTTTATAGAATTTATATGATACATAAATTACTTGCTAATGTTTACAAATGAACTTATTAAATTTATTTTTTTATGTATGTTTAGGTGTTCAGAGCGGGCCACTTCTATTTCCTCCCGGTTCGCGTCACCCTTTACTAGGAGGAACCGGAAATAATGAAGATTCATTGGAGGCTCCTTTAGGATTAGGCGAATTAGCAGGACTAACAGTTAACAATGAAGCCGACTCAACATATGATGTAAGAATTGTTATTTCGGTGCTCCAAAGTTAAAAATAATAATCTTTATTATGCTGTGGATCCAGTAATGTACAAAGACACTATAATCAAATTTCTTAGTATGTCAAACTTAAGGTAGTACCTTAAATTTGACGGACTAATTAAAACTAGTATATTTATTTTAACTATAAGTATGTGCCACGTAATAATAGAGATATATTTTGAGAAATATGTTGTTAAGCAAATATTAGAGAGTGTACATGTACTTGGACAACCTGTATGGTATAGTCTACTACTCGTATAGGCTGTGCGTAACATAATGATAAGTATTTATGTATCTAAACATATCTAATCATAGAAAAGGTACAGGCAGCTATGAATTTTTCTTTATTATGATCATATAGAACCTCTGTTATATATGCAGTCTGTCATTGAGTGGCACATACTTGTATTGGAAAATCTTACTTTTCAAATGCTAAAATCTAGTGTTTACTGCTTTACTGGATGTGCTTGGGCTATATTCTTTAATCATAAGTACTTTTGGGTCATTACCAAGAGTAGAAATTATTAAAAAATTTTCATAATACAGTCGATCCCCCTATAACACTGTTGATTTTTCCGTTTTATATGAATACCATGATGTACGAGTCACTTAGATTTTACAAATACATGAGCCATTCACAGCCCGGCACACGTATTTGTAAAATCTAAGTGACTCGTATAACATGAAATTCATATAAAACGGAAAAATCAACAGTGTTATAGGGGGAGTCGACTGTATAGTATATTCAATAATCCTAAGTTTGCTAATTCCGTTATTTGACATTAATCTTGGATATTACCATTACTGATCCAATTGACGTTATCTGTTGTTTCTTTAAAAATAACAAACCATACAACATTGTAACGAATTTAATAATTTTTTCAAGATATTTTGAATATTCTAATGTATAGTATCACATATTTTATTCTCATTAATTTATTATAATTAACTAAAATCATATGAAATTTATTATTTAATTTGGTAAAAATAAGAAAATAAAATTTGTTCAGATTAGCAAGAATCACTGTGTGTGCATAAGAAAAATCAGTTTAAGATAGCTGTGTATTGTTATATTTGATTCAGTTAATTTATAGGAAACAATTTAAAATCTTTAAAAAACTATATCTCAGTTAATTGACTATTTGGCCACCTTATATAATGACATAAAGATTTATCATCATTGTGCAAAACAAATGGTAACAGCTTGCATTTTTCTATCTCACTTCTTCAAAAGGAGTAAGTGAGAAAAATGTAAGCTGCTACCCTCAGTTGTAGTTTACAGGACTTTAAAAAAAATGATCTTTGTATTTAACATTGTTTAAATATTAAAAATCAGAACACAGCTATGTTCGAAAACTGTTAAAAAGATAAAACTGTTTTTCTATTCTATGCAAATTTTTCCTGACTAGGGCCTCTGAAAGACAGCCGAAAACGTTTCAACATTAAAATTTTTTTGTTGTTCATTTGCTGGAATTATCGCTTAGGTGTGAAGTGGTTGTTTTAGTAAGCACTATTTTCTTTGTCCTTACTCCATGTGTCCTACACTCCTCACAAGTGCCCTCAGGTAACATTGCTTTCATTGTTCTTGTGATTCTATAAAGTGGCACTCACCACCCAGGAAAATTGATTAAGGTTAGAAGGTTCTAGAAGTATGAAAGAACAAAGAAAAAAAGGAGAAATGCTAAAAAGTACAAACTAAACTAAAATTATACAATAGCATTCAACCACTTCACAGGTATGATGTAAAAAATATTAAACAGGAAATAGCCTACATAAAATTACCTTAAAAAATATTTTTGATAAAATGCCAGAATGTTTTTGCATTTTTTGACATTTCAAGATGCTCTAAGTCCAAAAATGAAAAATCTTAGGGGGTCATTTTTTTGGCTGATCACTATACTTCCCCCTGTTATATATAATTGCTGGGAAAGTAAAAATGTGAATAAAATTTTTTTAGTTTGCCTCTCTCTCTTACTGTTAATCTGTCCATATTTTGCCTTCAACTATTATGATAACCCTAATTTAAAGGAATCAAAATTTTTCACTCTACTAAGAATTTTCTTTAATATTTATGAATTTTATGAACTAAATATTTTGATAATTAAATACAAAATGAGAAAAGTGTTTAAAGAGTTATTTTAGATCAAATATCTGGCAAACATAGCATTGTAAATATTAAAGCGAATTTTTACTCTCCTGGCTGTTATATATGACACAGGGAAAGTATGGCAATCTGTCAAAAAATGACCCCGCCACAATAGACCACATGGCTGATAGAAAAGAATAGAATACCCAGGATGTATGAACCTTATTTAGATGTTGTGAGGGGCCATGTGGAACTTCATTAGACTCACTTTGAACTTCTCTCTTCCTTTTTTGTATATCCAAGATTTACTATGCTGTCATTCCAATAAGTTCATAAACTTTTATTACTCCAGTTTAGTTTAAACTTGTCTCTTAGATACTTGACAACAGTAAGCACTATTAGACATAAAAAACTGGCGCACAAACAGGAAATATGTACTAAAACAACCACTTCATACCTAAGTGATAATTCCAGCAAGTGAACTACAAAAAAATTTTAATGTTCAAATGTTTTCGGCTGTCTTTCAGAGACCCTTGTCAGGAAAGCATAGAATAGAAAAATACAGTAGAGAGTCGATTATCTGAAAGTCAATCATCCGAAACGTCAATCATTCGAAAGAATTTTAGTCGGCAAATTTAAATTTTTGACAGTGCTGTGGCGCTGCAATCTTTGGCTATGTCTTGGGCTACTCAAATATTTTATGTTTTTAATACTAAATTAACTTCTGAAGTATAATTTTTTATTGTTTTTATATTTTTCAATATATTTATTTTGTTCGTACAAAATAAAAAAATAATTTTTAACGATACAATAGTCTTCGTTAGGCTTAACATCGACGAAAATTCAACGTGAAGCGTCACGCAATGGAGAAAATGTCAAGATGGGATAAATAAATATATTTTTTCGTACATAATCGGTTATCTGAAACGTCGATCTTCCAAACAACCCGAGTCCCCAATTGATTCGGATAATCGACACTCTACTGTAGTTCTATCTTTTTAACAGTTTTCCTTCAAATTCTTCCCTTTTCTACTTTGATGGCCAAACTTACATCCAAAAATATGCGGTATGTAGATGATATAACCACATCTATTTACCACAAACCCACATACATTACCCTCTTTATACCTACTAACTCAGCAGACCGTTGGCCTTTTAAGGTAACGGCTTTCCGGGCCCAAGTTGCTAGGGCTTCCTCCCATTCCTCGGACACTTCTGATACACACAATGAACTGAAACGCGTCAAGTTTATAGCATCTGCACATGGGTACCACCAGTCCTTAATAAACAGGCTCGCTGCCAACCCATCTATCTATGATAACTACCACCGACATGAGGCTTAATGATGCAGAGCACAAGCGGGTGGTTATAACTTACGAACAGTCCCTCCAACAAATTTATAATAGAATTGCTAAGGATTTAAACTTGTGCTTAACTTATAGGAGAAAACAGAACAATTTTTGAATCTTACCTAATGCAAAAGACAAGTCTGAGGACAAGAAAGCACCAGGAGTGTACCACATTCCATTGCAAGACAATTGTTTCAATAGGCGTATAACATACATCAGATCCACGTATCGATCTCTAGAGGCTAGAATACAAGACCACAAGTATGATGTATCCAAGGGGAAGTATAGTACTTCACTAGCCCAGTATGCTACCGAACCTGGAGTTTCTCCTTGTTGGGATGAAGCTACGCTTTTACACAGGGTGTTTGACTGACACAACTTATGTTTGTTGGAGGCTATTGAAATTTATATAGCGGGCATGAAGGGAGGTTGCATTAACTCCGACTATATTCCAGTTCCACAATCGTGGAAGTATTATTTACAAAGCCACAAAGCATAACTATGATTTTTTAGTATGAAGTTAGCTTTAGGCGATGTAAAGGAAACAATCTTTTTCCCTATCACACATTGTTTATACATTAAAACATCGGGCTAACTTTTAACATTGAATATATTATTACCACCATATATATTATTTTATATATTAACACCATATATATTATTATTGTATTTATTTATAACTTTATTTATAAATATTTTAATTATATGTAATACATAATGATCTTTGTATTTAACATTGTTTAAATATTAAAAATCAGAACACAGCTATGTTCGAAAACTGTTAAAAAGATAAAACTGTTTTTCTATTCTATGCAAATTTTTCCTGACTAGGGCCTCTGAAAGACAGCCGAAAACGTTTCAACATTAAAATTTTTTTGTTGTTCATTTGCTGGAATTATCGCTTAGGTGTGAAGTGGTTGTTTTAGTAAGCACTATTTTCTTTGTCCTTACTCCATGTGTCCTACACTCCTCACAAGTGCCCTCAGGTAACATTGCTTTCATTGTTCTTGTGATTCTATAAAGTGGCACTCACCACCCAGGAAAATTGATTAAGGTTAGAAGGTTCTAGAAGTATGAAAGAACAAAGAAAAAAAGGAGAAATGCTAAAAAGTACAAACTAAACTAAAATTATACAATAGCATTCAACCACTTCACAGGTATGATGTAAAAAATATTAAACAGGAAATAGCCTACATAAAATTACCTTAAAAAATATTTTTGATAAAATGCCAGAATGTTTTTGCATTTTTTGACATTTCAAGATGCTCTAAGTCCAAAAATGAAAAATCTTAGGGGGTCATTTTTTTGGCTGATCACTATACTTCCCCCTGTTATATATAATTGCTGGGAAAGTAAAAATGTGAATAAAATTTTTTTAGTTTGCCTCTCTCTCTTACTGTTAATCTGTCCATATTTTGCCTTCAACTATTATGATAACCCTAATTTAAAGGAATCAAAATTTTTCACTCTACTAAGAATTTTCTTTAATATTTATGAATTTTATGAACTAAATATTTTGATAATTAAATACAAAATGAGAAAAGTGTTTAAAGAGTTATTTTAGATCAAATATCTGGCAAACATAGCATTGTAAATATTAAAGCGAATTTTTACTCTCCTGGCTGTTATATATGACACAGGGAAAGTATGGCAATCTGTCAAAAAATGACCCCTCAAGATTTTTTATTTTTTTTGGACTTAGGACACTGAAATGTAGAGAAATGCAAAAAGTTCAGAAATAATTTGTATATGTATGGATGTTAGTGTGTGTGTGTGTGGGGGAGCACAATTTTATTCATTCTGTTTGAAGCTTAATAAATAACTCCTGTGATTTTTGTTGAAAATTTCTGAAATTTAGCAGGGAGGTTTGTTTATTAGGGGATGGATGCTATTAAATTTTGGTGGTTAAAGATCGGGGGTGTGGAGATAATGGGGTTGTGTGTGTATCCAGTAGGATTGGACTTAATGACAACTTGTTATTAGTATTTACAATTTTTTATAAAATTCATCCCTTCCCTCAAAATTAAGCTTTTTGCATTTTATAATAATTACAAATATAAAAACTTTTTTAATAAAATATTGTAACAGATTGCACCACACATGCTGGTATGTATGATCATCAGAATTACAAATATAAAAACACATTTAAAATTAATTTTTTTCAAATTATTTCCAGATTTCATCAGCAAAGGAGGCATTTAGGAAAACATGGAATGCAAAGTATACATTGAGAAGGTAACATTTGGCATTTATTAAAATAACTATTGTTGTGTTGTTATTAAACCATTTTACCAAACAGCAAAGGCCAATACATGCAAGCAGCAAAATTAAGGCAACAAAAGGCATTAATGACTGATACTAATAAGTTTGTGGTTCTCTTGATCATGACAATCAATCAAGCCTTTAATTGATGATTACTTCCAACTTAACTACAGCTGTCCCTTGATAGTCCGACGTTTTGTAATCCAACATACTCAGTATTCCGATGCACCTCCCATCAAGGTACCCGTCCCTGTTACGTGTCTGTTTGCACAGAAGCATGTTGCGACATGAATCTCCCCACCCAATTCTTACACGATGACACACATTTTGTGTGTTTTCCGTGAACAGTTCTGTTCGAACTGTTGGAGTAGGGAATATTGTAGGCTACTGCTAGCAAAACAATGCCAAATATGTAATCACTTTCGGTAATCCGCACCCCTTTGGTCCCATACCTGTCAGATTATCAAGGGACAGCTGTACTGTCCCACTTAAAGCATCAGACTGCTACTATGAAAATCTGAATTCAAACGCAGTTCAGAATCTTATAATTTATCATAAATAACTTGGATCCGCTGCATTATTTCCCTATCCATAACTCATGTCAGTTAATGTGTAGATACATAAGCAGAAGTTGCCAGTTTGAGTCCCATTATGGATTGATTTTATCTTCCAGAACAATTTAAATTATTTAATTTAGTATCTTATAGTTAAATCATTTATAAAGAAATCACAAGCAACCACAACTGTTAAATTTTCTTCCTGCAAACGATCCAGCACTTTGATTTTATCTAGTAGTTTCTTTGTTTTTCTTTAACCTGTCCTACCTTGTTCCCAAAAATATTCGTGTAACCTCATTGACATGCGTAGATGATCCGGAATATTTTCGTGTTTACATAGGAACGTTTTTGATACTAGATGTCACTATGAATCACAATTTTTATATTAAAACGAACTTTTAAAATATAATTTTTTTTGTTTCTGTATTATTGAATATATTTATTTCATTTGTAAAACATAAAAAAAATAATTTTTTACAATACAGTAAACACGGTTATTATTTAAAAAAAAAAAAGCTTAATAGCGACAAAAATTCAACATCAAATAGGTTAATATTTTCTCACTGGAGATCTTTGATTTTTAAATCGGTAATGTCATCTAAAGGTTAAAAGAACTAAAATCCTCTCATAAAGTATAATGCGACGCATTCACAGCACATTATAATTTAGAAAATAAAACTTACCATTTGCATAATTGCATGTGTTAAAATAGTATGGGAAAATACAAGATAGTATTCACTAATAGCGTGTTATGGTCAACAAAATAAATTGTATTAGAATGCATTTGTGAGAACCGAGGGAGTATAGCTTCAAGCTTCTCCCCACTTACCGGCAGCTCTGTCAGAGAATGGCTATATAAGAGGGCAAAAATGTGAGTGGGGAAGGAAATGGGTAGGTCGACAGGTTACCAATTGTACTCAAGGATGACACAGCATTAAATATAAAGTAAACATATTTAATTAACTAATTATCTAGAACTATACATACACGTACAAAACGTAATGCTACAAAAAAAGGGAATACTCAAAATTATTCTATACCGTGACAAGGAATATATAAAGAATCAAAGGGAATGAATCGACATTCAGAAAATATCAAATATACAGAACCAACTTTATATAACTTATATAAAAATATCATCACACAACCTAAAACTACCACTTACTGTATTCATTTCCTGGTAATTGTAGACAGTATAAACTTATTTATGCTATAAAACAGTGTATCATCTATGATTTTTTTCTTTATTAAGAAAATTAATTAAATAAAATTTTGTTTTTGTGTGTAGCCATTTTGATGGTGTTCGTTCTTTGGCCTTCCATCCTGTGGAACCAGTATTAATCACTGCCTCTGAAGATCATACACTCAAATTATGGAATTTACAGAAAACTGTTCCTGCCAAAAAGTTAGTAATTGATAAACTTAAATATTTATTACTTACCATTTGCTACAAATTTATTATAATTGATATGTAAGTATAAAAACTTTAATTTTTTGAACAGAACTGCATCTTTAGATGTAGAACCAGTATATACATTCAGAGGTCATGTGTAAGTAATGTTTACATAAATTTCAGATTTATAATGACTATGTTTAACCATTTAATTTTGTTCTTTAGAGGGCCTGTTCTATGCCTTGTGTTAGGTGTGATGGGTGAGCAATGTTTCAGTGGTGGTCTAGATCAAACTATTAGATGTTGGAATGTGCCAAGCTCAAACAGTGATCCATATGATTTATTTGGTAAATTAATTTTTATTAAAAGTTTGAAGTAAAATTACACAGTAAAATGAATCAATAATCTGTAAGAATTATTAATTTAAATTTAGGTGTGCGCCATGTAATGACAAACCACATATAATGACGATGGTCTTGTAAGATTATAATGGAGTTGAAAAATTTATAGCTCTGTGTACCTTTTCTATGTTTAGATACATAAATACTTTTCATTATGTTACATACAAACTGTATGATAGCAGGACTATACCATATAAGGTTTGTCTAAGTACACAGTATGTTTGCTTAAGTCACTTAACATATTTCTCGGCACGTATTTCTGTCGTTAAGCAGGCACATATGATATACATGCTGTCTTAACGTTTATATCTGTTGTATTGTTATTGAATACAAATTAAATGATAAATTGTTTTACATTTTTCACAAATTTGATCATGTCACTTTTTACTTACAACATTTATAAAATATTTAGAAAGTTTTGTACCAAAGTATTGAAATTAATATGCATTAATGGCATTACTATTAATTTAAAACATTTTAAATTGTTTTTCCTTCTCTTATAGTTTATATTTAAATACATTTTTTTCTTCTCTCATCAAAAATTACATTTTTCTTATAAACAATTGAAGTTGGCCTGCTTAATAAACATGTATCATTGAAATGTATAAAGACAAATTGCTACCATGTCCAGATTTCTGTAAACATGCAGAATTAACTCTTTTTATAAGTAGTCATTTCTATTATTATTGATTGAATTCTTCAAATTTTATTTTAAAAATGTTTGAAAATATGATGATGATTTTATCTTCTACCTTTTTAATGAAATTAGCAACAATGAATTATAGTATTAATTCATGGTATATTGGCTTTTAATACATCTTAATTAAAATTTTATGTATTTGTTTGCATTAAACAACTGTAAAATTAACTTTTAAATTACTTCAAAAGGTAAAAGCTTTTACAGGTGCTCCCCTACGTATAAACAGCTTAGATTCAAAAGGTTTTGTCATAAGTTGAAATGTTCGTAAGTCAAAAACTAACCTAAAAAGTACACTTGTACGCAGAATAACCACATACTGTTAGTGTTTGATCCTTCAATAGAATACATTACACTCATTTACCCACTTGCTATTGCTTATTAGTGGATGTTTCAAACATGGTTTTTTCACCTACACACTTAGTTTTATAATGTCCAATTTAGTTTCCACAATAACAGTCATACTTCTTACATTTATCTCCACTGCTACATTTACTATTATGTTTTGGATGCATTTTTGAAGCACTAATTGTAAAAGTTTATAAAATTTGCAAACAATGATGAAAAACACCAATACTTTGTCATTACCAACTTTTATGCTGCCTTCCAAGCAGTGATGGAATATCAGAATTCACCCAAAAACAGAAAATGATTATATGCAATAGAAATAAATCCACATTAATTATTTATTACTGGTTAAAGACTGATTCAGCACCATCTCACAACCAGCAAGAGAACTTCAGAATTTGTGTGAAGTTTTTATTTTAGACATATGGTCAAATTGTTCGTAAGTAGGGAAGCTCCTGTATTTCGTTTATGATATTTATATATTTCCTTATAGTTACATTACTATTTATAATTCAGGACAGCTTGAGAGTTTATTTGCTGAACTCTCTTAAATTAGTGGAAAATTCATTAATATAGTTTTTATAATTGTTATCAAACATTCCATCATTAGATCATATTAAGACGATTTAGTAATATTATTCAGTATGGCTCTACAGTATAAAATTTCTTTATTTTTATCAATATATCAATTTAGAACAAGTTCATCAGTTGGATTCATGCATTCTGCTTGTCCTATTCCTTCAGTTTTTGTTTTTGAATGTGAAGAGATCCTAAGTTTTTAAGTGATTCAAATAGAAATTACTGTGGTAATCTGTTTCTGTTTTTCTCTTCAGTGCATTTGAAATTTGTTTTTTAAAATTAGGTAGTTTTTCAGGCTATATACAGTCCATATTATATGATAATGATTGCGATATCAATTGACTAATGTAAATCCTGTCATTTTATTTTAGATTCATAAATTGTTTTGTATTTTTCCTTCTGTCTTAATTTTATAAGTCTTTAAAACAAAGTTTTACAAATTTAATAACAATTTTGTCTCTGCTTTAGATCCGGGAGTACTAACGGCAACATTACAGGGTCATACGGATGCCGTCTGGGGTTTATCAATACATAGTTCTAAGTTGCAGCTACTCTCCTGTTCTGCTGACGGCACAGTTCGGTTGTGGTCACCTCACAGTAAAGTACCCCTTTTACACACATATGGATCCGATAAAGGTAGATCCGACAACGAAATCTCTCCTTCTGGTTGCTTGTAAACAGATTGTAAATAATTTTATTATTTGCAGATGATGGAACACCAACTTCTGTAGATTTTATCCACTGTGATCCATTGCAAATGGTAACTGCGTACAATTCTTCAAATGCAGTCATCTTCGATTTAGAAACTGGCAAGCCAGTAGTACGCCTGGAGAGTAATCAAAATCCTGGTGAATATTTCTATATATTTATTTTATGTAATTCAACATATTTGAAACAAAGTATCAAATTAAATTTTTATATAATAAATACAACCAACCCAATAATTACTTTAAATATCAAATGAACAGTCTATTCCATTATTGGACTATTAAGACTAAATAATTACCATAAGTCTGCATGGTTTAGCAGGTGTTGTGAGTTTGAGTTCCACTGTGGGAGATACTTTCTTCCAGAATATTCTACGTGCTATTTAAATTAATTTATTTATTTATAATTATTATATTTAACCAGAGCTGGCAGCCTACTTACTGCCAAATTACTTAGTAATTATTTAGCCTTAATAGTCTGATAAAGGAATTTGGCTGTTCATTTGATACTTAAACTTTTTTTTGCATTTATAATCATTAAAATATTTTTATCAAATTTAAAAGTTGTCAGGACTGTATATTTGGAATTAACTGCTTACATTAGTATGGCTGCTTGTCAAAAACTGCAGCATTATGACTGAATTTTTATATTTCTACAAATGATTTTTTTTTTGTAAATAAGTCAATTTAAAATAATCTAATCGGTGTTTTGAGAATAATATTAATCGGAGTTTAAATATGGCACTTTCATATGTCCAACTTTCTAAACAAATGATTTAATTTTAAATATTTCTGCCGTTAATACAAAGTTGAATCTAATTAACTTAAACTTGATTATTTTGAATTGTTAGCTAATTCTAACCTACCTCTACGGTTGATTGATCCATAGAATATCTGTGTTTTGGGGATTGTATAAACTCTTCATGCGTGAGAAAAATTGTCATGTGTTTCCCACTTTTAGCGATTCTTGAATCTAAATTAGCAGAGTTGTTTAGTTATGTTTTTATGTTGTTTGAGCATAGAATAAATTCACGTTTATATAGGGTGTCCTATAAGTCTGGCCCAACAAGTTATGTTGACATTTGTATATTCCTTTACACCTCTCTCCTTCACGTTATTTTGATAATGAGGACCCTCAGTTGGCTTGAAGTTGCTAGTGTTTGAAAGGCTGCATCCAAATCTATCACTCATCACATACAGTGCTTCAGATATAGCTTTTTAAATTCTTCAGTGATTTCATTCTTACCGAAAGTCCCTTGGTTGGCTTTGAGGGATCCAAAATTTTAAAATTTTCTCTTAGTGTTTGAATTTAGATCAACTGAATTTATTGTATTAATTATGTTTAATATTTTACATGTGTATGTAAGCGTGTAGTTATTATACATATTAAATATAATAGTTATCGTGATAATTGGCTAATTACATTCACTTATTTATTTTATAGAAATCAGTCAACAAAATAAACAAATTAATAGGATTATTAGTCATCCGACTCTACCTGTTACAGTTACGGCTCACGAAGACAGACACATCCGTTTCTTTGATAACAATACCGGTAAATTGGATTCTTATGTGATTATCATTTTTCATAAAACATTGTTTTAATTGTACTAAATTCATTTACTTTCAGGTCAAATGGTTCACTCCATGGTTGCACATCTAGATGCTGTTACTAGTTTAGCAATTGATCCAAATGGTCTCTATGTATTATCAGGAAGTAAGTTCTTTACACTGAAAGTAATATTATATTATGTCACCTATCTTACATTTATTTAAATGAGTGATTTCTTGTGGTCATTGTCAACTCCTAATGAACTGGTCAAACACTTGGGGATGAACTTGCAATTCATGCCTACTTTTTTGTAGCGGTTTGTATGCCAATATGAACCTATCTTCAGGATCTTTGAACACTCATGCTAAGAATACAAAACATTTGTGGCGTGAGTTTTTACTGCAAGCATTTTAAATGTTAAAAATTGAAATTACTTTTTCATTTGTCAGAGATTGTAACTTATGAGGTTATAATTTTTTTATTACATTTGCAATCTGCAGTCTGCTTTTTATAATGGATGGATGGACCAAACTGATAATGATCAATCTGCAATGAATAAAATGAGAATAGTCTTAGCCTAGACACATAGTTAATAGTGTACTAATGTCTTATACAAATAAATCATTCAGTTTTTCTGCATTATGAATTGGTAAATTCATGAATTAATAATAGCTTTGAATTAACAGTTTCTTTGTAAGTAGATCACTTACATTTGTCTGGATTGTCATTCAGTTTTCTTGTTCACTTTCAGGTCATGATTGCTCTATCCGTCTTTGGAATATGGACAATAAAACGTGTGTACAGGAGATAACATCCCACAGGAAAAAGTTTGACGAAGCCATTTTCGACGTGGCATTCCACCCTTCGAAGCCATTCATTGCCAGTGCAGGAGCCGACGCTTTAGCCAAAGTGTTTGTGTGAATTTTCCGGAAACAAAAAAAATCTATATATAGTCAGTGTCACTCAAAATATGAGTTCCCAGTCAACATCCCAAGGACTTTCAAATGCACCCCAAATTTATTTATTAACTATAGTTATGTGAAATTGGGGTATGTGTTTTGCAAATGTCAGCAAAAAAATAAATAAATAAAATGGTTTTTATTAGTCACTTCCCCTTAGGGCACAGAAAAAAAAATCTACGAAACGTACAGATTTTGGTTGAGCAATTTAGCCGTTTAATTTTCTGTGTTGTGTGATGTTTAGATAGAACATGCAGGCATGTGTTTTTTTTTTTTTTTTCTCCCCCTTCCTCTCCTTTTTCTATCTGCAGCTTTCGAAACGTGAACGAATTGCCGAATCTGGTGCATTTAGCTATGTTATGGGATAACCAGTTTGAAAGTATATCGAAGAATTAGCTGCCCACAACATGACTTGGAGGGTTTGTTCATCATTCATGATTACAAATTTTATTTAGAAACATGTTAGAAGTTATTATCAAAGTCAAACTGGTCAATAAATTCACATAAAAAAAAAACTATTTAACAATCTTACTGCTAAAATCTTTAAAAAAAATTACACAAAAAAAATCTAATTTTAAAATATTATATATTTTTATGCCAAACTAGGTTTGGTTTGTAATTTTTTTACCGAATTCTTCATATTGATGATTTGATATTATGTTTTTACTCACGATGAGTTGTGAAAATGTTTGTCGTACAAATACTTTGTAGCATTCTACGTAAGCAATGCTAACTCAGTTTAGTTTTTAAGCCAAGCGACCAGTGACCAATCAGTGATACTTTGCCGATAAATTATTCAACCCCCTTTTCCCCTATTTTTTAGTGCCACAGTCGACAAGAAACGACGCATTTCGTTTAAAGGCAAATATCCTGTATATATTTAAAAAAAGTTGAAAATCTTAGGCATATCCTTAGACTCGGAACAGCATGATTAGATTAAAACCTACAGGATATAGTCGTATATTTCATTAAGTATAGAAACACGCAATCCCGAAGCATCGTTAATTTTTTATATATATATATAAATATATATTTAGTTGTTTCCTGTAGGATAACTGTGTTGTACAGTGTACAGATTTTACCTCTTAACATATTCTGCCATTAATACCGAGAGATCCCTCATGTATAATTGGTGAATGGAGTTCCTGGCGCAGGATAGGTGAATTCTGTTTATCAGGCAGAATTAGTTATTTATAATTACCATCTCCCAATAGACCGGATTTAAAAAAAATTCTCTTTTTTTTCCCCCCCTCAACCTCGATACTAACCGATTAAAAAGCGGCAGTCATTCATCATCATGCGGCACCGCACAGTGGTCTGTGGTCTCTATTTTTCTCTCTCTCTCTCTCTCTAGCCCGTCGAGAACACGAAGGAATGCACGCTGTCGGCTTGGCTAATGTGCTTCCTTTTATAATAAAATATTTCCAAGGGAACAGTAATATATTGTTTTTTAAGTTTATTCATTTTTTAAAAAAAATACAAAACAAAAAATAATGATCAAACATTCATAATTGATTAAATAAAAAAAAATTATATTAATATTTGAATGCCATTTTTGTTGGCTTTGAACTATATAAAAATATAAAAATAAAAAAAAAAGAAGTTAAAATATGCAACAGTTGAAAAATTCCTACTTTTATGAATAAATATAGACAAAAAAAATCACGATATCTGTCAGTTTTGATTATGGCCACCATTTTTATCGTGGCGGTCGTATTTGGTAAATATTGCTGTTAAAACAAAAGAAATATATCTGTTTTTATGATTGGAATATTTGCAAATTATGTTTGTATCTGAATCAGTTGTGTTTGATAAATATCACCCCCTCAGCTCTGGACTACTATATTGTTCCATTAAAGTCTCATCTTTTTTATTACTGTTTCTTTCGATGATTTATTTATGTCTTTCAGTGTACCGAGCGGGGCATAGATCGCAGCATCCATCCGCACCAACGGGTCGAGTGTAGCCATATGCAGATGCCTGTTTGGAATCGTCATTCTCCACAAGTCGCATGTCCAAGGTGATCATACCACGTGGTTTTTTGAATTGTTTGCAGCTGCGTGCCGTAATCTTCCCTTCGCAAATTGTTTCGAGTGTAATGTAATCGGCACTGCTTAGAAATATGGTAAAAATAAAGGAAATGTTGCAGCGTGCTCGAGTAAAGTAAATCATTTGGAATATTTGTCGTGCGGTGGATGCCGTGCCATATGACCCGCTTTGTATTAATAGATAAAAACGTAATTGGTTAAGATATATTATTTTTATATATATAACATTATTTTTATGCCTCATAAGTAAATATATAAATTTTTAAAATTAATTTGTAGTTAATTAATGAATAGAAGATTGTTTCTTTTAGAATTTTGATTTAATAAGTCACATCATTCTAAACAGTGACGAATATCTTATGTTTACATGATTGCAAGGCATACAAATGACTTAAGTTCTTCCCTTTTTAAGTTTTCTAATTATTTCCTAAAAATGCTTCAAGTGTAGTATCTCACATTACAATAAAAGTCATCTAAGCGAGCACACTCGAGGCTGTTGACAGGGTTTAGAATTGCATATTTGGCTATTTAAAAAGAAAAAGAACAGTTTGGGAGCTTGAGAGCACAGAAAACAAATACTAAGGCAAAATTCTGTATACAAAGTCACAAATGTAATCTTGCATACAGAATATAGATGATTTTTCTGTAGCAATATTAGTTTGCTGTATCTTGTACTGTATTAACAGATATAGCATGCAATATAATGAATCATTTTTGAATGGTTGAGCGCATACGCCTAAGCAGTTCTAGCAGAAATAGAAAGGAGCGAGTAATTTGGCATCATTTTGGCTGGTCCCTTGTTTGCCAAATTAGAGCATTTTTAACAGGGTTTTCAAGTTATTTCTGATAAATTAAAACATATTGATATACATCCAATCCATGTCTTTGTTTTGCAATTGTGAAATTCCCAGGAATTTGTCCAAAATTAAAAGAGTAGCCTTTACAATTTACAGTAGAAGATTGTTAATCCATCACCTACGGGACCAGAGCAATGCCGGAATATTGGACGATTTTGTATTTTCATAAAATTCAATAAGTTATATGCGGTTGCAGATATTGCTGTACATTTCGTACCAGCTCATTGCTTTGTATTAGTGATTTGTTACATGTTTAATCAGTGTGAAGACAACTTGCAAATTACACATGAATCATTATTAATGTACTGTACAATATATACGTAAATATTTATTTTTCCAGATATCTACTGTATTTCTGCCCAGGATTTTTAGTGCCCATGTGTCCTAATAAATTTCTGCCCTATTACAAAATTTAGAAGGAGAAATTTCAAAAATCAAAGTGTTAAAATGTAGTAAACCCTCAAAGGAGTTTATTTACATAAGAAATAGCAATGGCCAATAAAATTGTTTACTGTATCAAGAATTCTTATAATGGAATTAAGATTACGCATGCAATGTCTAGAATCGTGAGAATCATTTCCAGATCGAATCAGGAGATACCCCTATTTGTTCAAAGATGCAAGTCCTAAGTTGACATAATGGAAAGTGCAGCATCTACAGGCCATATTGACAAGATCAAGAACAGCTCAAAAATTTCATCAGAGTCATGTTGTATCTGCTGTACTAGGATCATCTCTGGGAATCCAGATTCATTCATCAAAATGATTTCTTTGACATGTTTTGATAGAGAATCCATTATAGAAGTGATGTTTAATGTTTGGAAGGGATTATTTTCATTGAATATACTGATCTGTACATGTTTTAAAACTGGCTGACTGGTGTTAAGTTTGATAGATTCTGGATGGTGTGGCAAAACCCAGTCAACCCTCATCTAACTTAGTATGAATCACAACAGTGACTCGTACTGAATCACCCTTAAAGAAGTGTCTACACACTTTATTGAATGTAATAGAGGAAAAATTTACAGAAAATGATATTGAGTACACTGCAAAGCTACTGTAGACTTAGTGGACACATTCCTTTCAATGAACACTGTACTGTACATATAGCACCCCCATAGTCTATTGACACTGCACTACATGAATAGACTTGCTACAGTACAGGGTGGTTTACATTGTCTTTCTATTGTGCAAGTCATTATCCTCGTTCATAGCCGCGAAGTAAGTTGTAAACATTGGCTTTAGGGTTTTGCTTTTTCAAGAAAATTACTAATCAAAAGACTAGTCTCAGGGATTATCAGTGACGTAGACAGGCACGTAACTCAGCTTAGTCCTTAATTGAAAATTATGACTCATTCAACCACCCCACAAGTGGTCATACCTATATGCAATTGCTAGAATGTCGCTTACAATTAAAAATTTCAATTTAAAATACTTCAATGACGCTAATTTATGGTATATTATACATTATTACAAAAGATTACTGAGTATTATCGCAAGAGTATGAATGGTATTTTAAAAAATGTTAAAAAGTTATAAAATGCCGAATATCGCGAGTAAAAATGGCGACTATGTACGCTTATCATTTATTTTAAATATTTGATTATTTTATAGAATAATTGAATTAATTTTCAAATATATATTTATTGAGTAAGCCGCTTGAATAAACAGCGTATGATACAAGTGTACGGCGCATGCGTGTATTATCCGAACTTTCGAAAGCGAACGTGCGCAATACGTCGCTCGAGCCACGCGCTTTATTAAAAAATAAACATTTTAGACCTTAATTATTAGATTTTATTTGTTTAATAAATTAAATTTTTTACTGTTAGCATTTTTATTGATGAATAAAGCCGCTAGATAGATTGATCAATTAAATAAACAAACAGCAGATGATGACGACACGCACAAACGAGCGTAAGGCGCATGCGCCCAACACTTTTGATTCCGTTCCGACGCATGCGTTAGTTAAATTCGAGTCGTGATCGTCGCGTGCACGTTGTTTGTGCGTTTTAGACGGGGTTCGGGGGCGAATCTATAAATACTGGATCCAAAAGTTCTGTGTCGATCGTCAAAAATGAAAAAGTTGATATTATTACCTTGTTTTTTGTGGTATCTGTGGAGAAGGAAATAACGTTTGTGGATCTTCACACCGGTCAGTAACGTGACATTTTGTAAAATGGCTCTGGACTTCGTCGCCGGCTGCTTGGGAGGTAAGTCAATTGTATACGAATGCTATTAAAAATCAACAAGTAGTTCGCGGCTCCCGAAGCGCCATTTTTATAAATTAGTAAGGCGCTTTAAGCTATTAAAAAGAGTTTTGTAGTGTTGTTTATTATTATTTTTTTTTTANGTTGGCTTTGAACTATATAAAAATATAAAAATAAAAAAAAAAGAAGTTAAAATATGCAACAGTTGAAAAATTCCTACTTTTATGAATAAATATAGACAAAAAAAATCACGATATCTGTCAGTTTTGATTATGGCCACCATTTTTATCGTGGCGGTCGTATTTGGTAAATATTGCTGTTAAAACAAAAGAAATATATCTGTTTTTATGATTGGAATATTTGCAAATTATGTTTGTATCTGAATCAGTTGTGTTTGATAAATATCACCCCCTCAGCTCTGGACTACTATATTGTTCCATTAAAGTCTCATCTTTTTTATTACTGTTTCTTTCGATGATTTATTTATGTCTTTCAGTGTACCGAGCGGGGCATAGATCGCAGCATCCATCCGCACCAACGGGTCGAGTGTAGCCATATGCAGATGCCTGTTTGGAATCGTCATTCTCCACAAGTCGCATGTCCAAGGTGATCATACCACGTGGTTTTTTGAATTGTTTGCAGCTGCGTGCCGTAATCTTCCCTTCGCAAATTGTTTCGAGTGTAATGTAATCGGCACTGCTTAGAAATATGGTAAAAATAAAGGAAATGTTGCAGCGTGCTCGAGTAAAGTAAATCATTTGGAATATTTGTCGTGCGGTGGATGCCGTGCCATATGACCCGCTTTGTATTAATAGATAAAAACGTAATTGGTTAAGATATATTATTTTTATATATATAACATTATTTTTATGTGTCGTGCGGTGGATGCCGTGCCATATGACCCGCTTTGTATTAATAGATAAAAACGTAATTGGTTAAGCGATATTATTTTTATATATATATAAAAAGGAATCACGGCATTTCTTTCCATCATTAAAATTCATAAAGGACGATAAACACGCGTAATATAAGTCTCGAAAACGTCACGAATATATCTGGAATTAAATTAGGTTGGTCGACGTCAGCAATAGACAAGCAAAGAAAACGCATTTTGTCCAATATTCCCCCTCCTAGATTCCAATTTGCTTGTGTCGTAGCAGGCATTGTCCCTTTCAGCAATCTATTGTCCTCAGGTTTGGACAAAGACAACGTCCAGATGCGTGATGCCTCTTATTGACTCTCACCCGAAGACCATTTGCGTCACAAGTGACGCCCGTGACGTTTAAACAACGTGATTTACTGCTGAGAAGGAGGACAATGCTTTTCGAGGTACGATCCTCCCCCCGTTCTCTTTTCTTATCGCTATGACGACCGTAAATTTTTGGCATTTTGAAAGCATGACGCACTATGTTCACACAATGCTTATCGGGAATTGTTGCTCGACATTGTGTTACGTCTACGTAGCACGATAAATATTCTCCGGCTCGACTTTATGCTTTTTTATACACTCGACACTATATATATTTTAACCCCCCGTAATTAAAATCGGACGGAAATCGAACCCGAACTTAGTATTAAATATAGAGAAGAGGATGCTCCTCCGCATCACTCCGGAATTATTTTTTTTTACGGGGGAGTTTAGGATGCGGCAAAATTAACACGTATGACGTCAGGCAACAACAGATGTAACAAGAAGGACGCTTAAAATCCCAAACTTCGGAACCAAGATTACATTTGCAAGCTGTGAGATCAGCATTTG